TAAATAATGAAAATTTACCTCAAAGATAATAGGGAAAAGACAATTGGTCCCAACAAGAAAACCTCCACAACTCAAATCTGTACAATCCATGTACTTATTAATGAAATATAGATAAATAAAAATATTTCCAGAGTTGTATCTGAGTAAGGAGGCCGTAGCAGTGTGTTGTGTAAGTAAATCATGTTTGCTTCAATAAGCAAAAGCTACGCAGTGCTGAAAAGAGGATTCATAATTGAGGACAAGATAGCCAAGTTCCCTTGTACCAGCCAAATGGGAATTTGCAGGGAAAGAAATGGAAAGCAGATGTATCAACATATATCTTTTTATAGTCTTTGATTTTAAAGATAGATTAGCCTCTGTTATAGAAATACATGATAAACATATACAAGAAATGACTCTTGCATTTTGGAAAAACTCATGGGGTACAATGTGGGCAGAAAGAGTAGCATAGAAATGTGTAACTGAGACAGGCGCCAGTGGCTCAGGCCTGTAATCCCAGCTACACAGGAGGCTGAGATCTGAGGATTCCAGTTCAAAGGCAGTCCAGGCAGGAAAGTCCATGACACTCTTACCTATAATAAACCGCCAGAAAACTGGAAGTGACACCATGGCTCAAGTGGGAGAGTGCTTCTCTTGAGTTGTAGAGCTGAGGAACAGCACCTAGGCCTAGAGTTCAAGCCCCACCACTGGTAAAAAGAAACAAACAAAAAACGTGTAACTGAAGAAAGCAATACTGAGTCTGCGAGAAAAGAAATGACAAAAATCACAGAGATCACTGATCCCTGAATACTACAAAAAATAACCACAAAATCTATTTTTCTAGGAATCCTTTAAAAATAAACAATATATGGGAATCAACACAGGGATCACTAGTGAATACACAAAATAACACAAAATTTAGAATTTAGCTTTCCTGTCAGAATGTTACCGAGTCTTCCTTTAGACATGCAGATTTTCATCAACCATCTCCCTTGTTAGTTGTCTTTTATTTCTTTTTATTTTGAAAATACTGTACAGAGGGGTTACAATTACATGGGCAAAATAATGAGTGCATTTCTTAGGAAGCATTGTAGCCTCCTCCTTTGCTTCCCCTCCCACCCCACCCAATCCTCTCTTCCCCTGGCCATCCCTCCCCCAACAAAGCTGTGAAGTTTGTTTTCAACATAAGGACATCTCATTGTTCCAATGGGTCCACCTTTGTCCCCATTTAAACTATTTGTTTTTCCCCTATCCCTCCACAAATTATACTGACATCAAATACAGTGAAAGCAGGGGTTATACTGTGGGGAGGGATATACAAAGCAACAAAGAAATAACCTTATAATTATGTTAGAAACAAAGTTGTCTTTTATTTCTTGAGTAAATGAGTCTTCTTTACCACCAATAGGCTATACACAAAACCAGTATGAACTCAGTGTCTCTAGCTCAGGCCTGTATTCTTTGCTATTCAGGAGGCTGAGATCTGAGGATCATGGTTCAAAGACAGCCAGGTCAGGAAATGCTATCAGATTCTTATCTGCAGCTGTAGCTGAAAGTGGTAGAGTGAAAGAACTCAGTGACAGTGCCCAGACCTTAAGTTCAAGCCCCACAAAACCCATCACTACTCTCCCCCCTCCACAAGCCCAACACAGAGCACACTGAGTTCCCTCCTAAACCCTCAGTCCTCTTCACTGAACTGGTGATTGCCAGAGTTTCTGGATTTCCCACTGCAGCATGCCAACCAGCCTTGTTCCCTCTGCACATGCACCTCTGCCATACTGCAGGGCCCAGGCCTCCTCTCAGAATCCATTACCCTGGAATAGAGAGCAGAGAAATTCAAGGATTCACAGAACTTGTG